TCTGTAATATACGTCACTAGAAAAAACTTTATGGCCCCTTCTTATGATACGTTATCTGATCCTGCATTCTTTAGGGTTTACTTTATCTTTAACCTCCAATTGCATAGTTACCAAATTTTCCAGTTGCCCTGACCAATGCTAAAATTGCCTAGTGGTTGATCTGATAGCAAAATATCGATAGGAAATTTCCATAATCTTTTAACTATTTTTGAAAGAAAAAAAAAATTACTGGGCGCTTTCTTCGTATTTATTTTTCCACTTTCGTGCATCTTTCTCCACTCTAATAACATTCGCATTCATTCGTTCCATTTCCCGTTTGAATTTGTCAAAAGTTTCGTTTGAACTGTTCAAACTCAAATGCAATTCATTGTACTTCTTTGTATATTTGTCAATCTGTTCACGCATTGCTTTTTCACCTTCCAGCGCTTCTTTCACTTTCATTTCTCGCGCAAGGAACTAAATCAAAAAAAATATTGAAGTAAATCAGGCGAATTTCAATTCCCTTTAGATTTCGGTTTAGATGTCGTAATCCAGATATATGGAAAATCGAGGAACAAAACCAGAATTATACATCAAAATGAGTTAAGAAAAAAGTAAACGACATTGCTTTTCCTAAGGCAATCCTAAATTATTCAGAATTTACTTTAATTACCGCCAATGGATTAAAAAAACCGCAAACAACTAGTGATACTTAATATAGTCCTCTCCCTCTCCCCCCATCCTCCCAGCCCACATAAATCAGAATCCACCACTGAAATAGAAAGTTATAATAAGAAGGAATGAAATAAAAAGAGCAATGGAAAAATAAGGTAAGAAATAAAAATTAGAAAATTTGTGAGATTACTAATAATGGTGGGATTATAAAAAACATGTTTCGGCTATAAACTATGCCAGATAGTCAAACCGAAATTGACCCAGTTTTTAGAGCAATCTTCGAAAAAGTATAAACCACAGGCAGGGTTAGCAGTCTGTAGCTGCTCCGCAGACACCATCACGGGTTTTTGTTTTCTTCTGGTCGTGTAACATAATAAAAGGAGGAGAATTAAGCCTCCCTGCTCCCGCC